TCGGGTGATATTCCCCTCTGGAGTACAGGAGAAACCAGGGAGGTGACACGGATTAACGTCATCGGGTCCACCTGCAGCCATGACATTCGGGCAAACATTTGCGCCTTGCATCGACGCCGGACAGCAGGTGTCGAAGAAGCTGGCTATGGTCTGTTTCTGGAGGGAATTGATCTCCGTCTTCGCAGGCACCAGAAGAACAGACAGCTCACACAGGTTCTCGATCGCCGACCTCCCGACCAGACTCACTGTGTATACTCCTTTGACTGTGTCCGTGTAGTTAACATAAACCATCTCGAAGTTGCTCGCTGGGTCATCGCTTTTCCACGTGTAGCTGACCTTTCCCGGCCAGGCGAATCCTTGCGCATTTGGCGCACTTTTTGGTGTACTTTGCGCGGGGCCAAACACATACAGCCCGCAGCCTCCCTGGTTACTTCGCGCTTCTATGGTCAGAACAGAGGTCGCATTTTCAGGCACTTCAAAATAGTACCGTTGGGCGATGGCGCCAAAAACGGTTTGAACCGGCACGCGCGTGTTCGGTGTGATCGGCATGGATCCCATTTTGGGGTCAGTCGTCGACGGCGCCTGGAGCAAATTCCTCCCGCCGATGCCGCTGCCGCTGGCTATGCCGGCGGCGGCGGCGGCCGATTCATGGCGCCGACGCCGGCGGGAGGTCGGCGACGTCGTACCGTATTTGGCCAAATCTCCATCCCACGCGTTTTGGGCGGGAAAATTCCCGCCTTCGCCCCCGTTCACTGCGAAGGCGGGAAATTGGCCCTCGACGGTTTTGGCGGGATCGGCCATCCCCGCGCGCGGGGAAATTACCCCGCCATCGAAATGCGGGCGCGCATCGCGAACGCCGAATCCCTCAGCGCTCGCCGCCGCCCTGCAAATGGAACACCAACAGCAGCAAAGACTGCTCATCAACACCACAAGAACGACGGCGGCGGCCATGCTTGATCGGAAAAAGTCCAAGGCTCGCTTTGCAGTTCGTTTCATGCGAGCAGCGACTCTCCCTCGGGGGCAGGGTCCCACTTGCACGGATTAAGAGATTATGGCCGTTGATCGTTGCTATCTACGGTCAAAATCGCTTGATTCGTGTAAGTGGGACCTAGTCCCGGGCTGCGACTACTACTCCTGAAGTCTGCCCTCTCCCTCCTGCTACATAGTTCCCCTTCTCCCAAGTCCCACCCCTCCCCCACGTGGACATGGCCACAGGAAACTGCTTTTCCAATCTCAATCTTCAATCTGCTCTTCGAATTAGCAATCTGTCCCCACGTCCTGGATTGCCCCCTCGCTCGGGTCCCAGTGACAGAATCATTCACTCAGGGTCCCTATCGGTAGTGTGCCTACCCCCTCCACCCCCCTCCACCCGCTCTACTACCGTGTTTCAATGTCTAACTGTCTGCTCCTCTTCACCATTGCCCGTCTACCGGTAGTCGTCCGCTCTATCTCATTCTTGCTGTAACCATCGCTTTTTGCTTGGCCGTAGTTGTCGTCGGTTTGCTGGGGGGAGGGCGGGGAACGGGAGCGCGGGAGCAGAGGCCGGGGAGGGCGGAAGGGAGGGGGGGGGGGRGGGAAGACACGTGGCATCTGCAAGGCAGAGGACGTGAGTACTGCTCAGGTAGAATCCATGGCCGGATTGAAGAATCAGGATGAGAATCAGGACAACGATGGAGATCGATCGTGAAAGGAGGAAACAAGCAGGTACATGACGAAAATACCAACCCTAGGCAGCAGGATGAAGTGCAGGAGGAGGAGGCGGAGGAGAGGGAGAAGCAAGAGAAAGACGGACGATGGTGGCGGGTTCGGGAGGAGGAGGAGGAGCAAAGGAAGGGGACAAGGGCAGGATGCTCTCTCTCGGTTTTGCAAGACACTGCCTGGGCGAAAATTACTGTAATTACTCCCTATTCATTACCGAGGAGCGTTGCCATAGCACAACAATAATCAGGTCCACAGATTCAATCACATCCACAAATTCAATCAGCGATCTGGAACTCAATCAGATCCACCAAACGCTTGATTGATCCCTGTCCATCGCTTGAAACGCTGCGCCATTACGGCAGCAGAATCTGGCTTCATGTTACCTTTGTGAATACAGTAATCGTTTTGTCGTCAACTCCTCGGCATCTGTAGGCGTTATGACCGAATAAAGCGCAGGCGTAGTCCTTCGGGACATCGGTTGAATTAAAAAAAAAAAAAAAAAGTGGTCCGACGGACCGTGGATCAGATATCAAACTGATCACAACAGTTGATCTTTTTTTCCTTTTTTGTTCTTTTTTTGGGGGATAATTTGTAAAATACCCCCATAAGTTGAAATATGTGCCAAAATGCCCCTGAAAGATGTGGGTAGAGCGGATTGCCCTTTTGGGCCGAAAATCTTTGTGCGGTGCCCCTGTCAGGCGGGTGTGCACTTTTGCAATCTGGACGTCCCCGTTCGCGCCTTCGCCTTTTGCAATAGCGCCTCGGAAAAGTTGGCAAGTACTGGGGCATTTTGCAAAGTTGGACGGTACCTGGTAGGAATATTCCAAAGATGGGGGTCCAACCGACGCTAGGGGTATTTCACAAAAAACAAATTGTCAAAGGGGCATTCGGCTCTACCCACATCTTTTCGGGGCATTTTGGGATATATCTCAAACTTTTATGGGGGTATTTTGCAAATTATTCCTTTTTTTCAATATAAAGCCCAGGTTGTTGTAGAGGTTGGATTTCTAGACATGTGAGGGGTGCCTTCGGCACTTGGCCATGTGGTATTCCTATGGAACTTCCCTCCCAATCTAGCCAAAAGGCGCAGAAAGGTATATAATCGGTTCTGTTAGAGCACTGGTTGGAAATATGCATTGTGGTATGAGGTTGCGGGTTCAAATCCACAGCCCTTGCGCACGGACACCGGCACACGGCTGGACACACACACCCTTGGGCTGACGCATGGTAAGCTATTACAGACACTGCCTGCGCACCACCCAAGGGTTGTCAACGGTGTTGTAGGTCGGGTCTTCGCTGTTGCTTGTGGTTGCTCTGTTGATCTCCCCAGTCTGGCATATCACACACAGGTGCCGTTTGCGATTGTTGCTCAAATGGTATAGTCTTCAGGTCACATGTCATAGATCATGGGTTCGAGTCTGGCTTGGGACGTTGGGGGGGGGTCTTGTCCGGTTTGGCCTGTCATCTCTTCAACGAACACATAGTTCCCTCTACAAGTACTACACATATCTGGCCTTCGGCCACATACATCTCGCTATACAGTTACACAGTGTACACATAGCCTTCGGGCAGACACAGACATGGCTCGTGAAAAAATATACACAGTGTGTACGGGCTTGTGACGCCCAACCTCACGCCCGGCGCGACTTCCTGATCGGAGTGTGAGTGGGCCTGGAAGTGCGAAAAGGGGTGTGCCAAGGATTTTTGGGAAAGTGGGGGTGGAGTCTCAAGTCGGAACTGAGATCTCCTGTGGCAAGTTTCAGAGATAGCAAAGGTTAGGTGGATAGGTGGGGGTCGAAGTCTGTTTCTATGCCTCTGAACGTGGGGCTACCACCTCTGCTGGTTCCGTCACCTGGGTCGGACTCGTATTTGGTGCACGGTCGGGACGCTATGGCTATCGCGCTGTCTGACAACTTGTTGGCGTCGTGCGTCGCTGGTCTTAGAATCCGACGCGGTTGGCCTTAGTCGAAGGTTGTGCGCCCGTTGTTCTTCCTCCGAGCGAGTTCGCCGGATGAAACCGGAGGCTCGGTACTCACGGTCTTGCAAGCACTCCAAACACGGGAGTTGGGGTCAATACAGAACGATTGCGCGCCAAGGGATGATGGGCAGCAAATGGAAGGGCAGTATGCGGTGGTAGGGAGGGAAGTCGATTTCCAAAATAATTACTCTCGGTTCTGCGACCAGGTGACACGTGTACGAGCTGGGGAATTCCGAGTGGTGGAAAATGCGCTCCCGAGCTCGGGCGATGTCCCACTCGCAGATACGTTCGTTTCCCACCGGGTATGGAAATTCAGGAAGCTCTCCCCTCGGTCGTGCAGACAGACACACGTGCTCCCAGTACTCCCGGAATTCTGGATCCCTCAAACACTCGCGGTCAGTAATACGAAAAGGGAGTTCAATATTCATGTTGTGGGCTGAGGCGGAAACTCAGTCATTCGAAAAGTCGAACCGGGCACAGGCGCTGCAAACACCCGTGTAGGCCACGTTCTTATGATCGGGCTTACACGTGCGTGCACAAGGCCAGCCCTTCAGTCCGATGGACAAAGACCGATGACCCGCGTTCTCATACGCGCTGACCCGTTAACCAAGGGTGGATAAAACTATCGTGAAACAGATATCTGATCATCTAGCGTGCTTAGTTAAGTTCGACAGAAAAATACCCATCGTCCACGCGCCCAGTTTCATGCATACATAAACAAAAAGAGGGTGACAATCGTTCATGCATCAAGATCATACAAGATTCGATCGTAGGTAATTAACCAATCAATGTGGTCCATCCATATAGAGGGAAGAACAAAGTGGAAGAAACAATCATGCATCTGTCAGCAAAGACAAACAAAAAAAGATCTGAGATGCCGGTCGAAGGAAACAAAGGCGGCTTGCGCCAAATACCAAAATTGCTCGGAAGGAAAGAAGAAGAATCAAAAATGGCTTGGAGGGTTAGAAGAAGAAGCTCATCGCACACTTCCCGTCTCTCTCTCTCTCTCAGTACCTCGATGCGGGTAGTCCGTCGCCCGGCACCCACACAAAGTTGTCACCCTGCTTGATCCAAGCATGCAAGCCAGGTTCGCCCGTGTGTCACATTCCGTTGCGGCCCCACATCAACCCCGCACGCTTAGCATCAGCTCGTCGGATCGCCCAACTCTCTACTCACCTGCCAACTTTCGCTCGTTAGCCGACCCTCTCGACCTCGCTAACTTCCAAAATTCTTAGAGAGTGAGTTAATCGCACTTACGAAATTTATAGCATGCATGCGCGTGCGCGCGATACACGGGATTGTGTCTGAGTATGGGGAAGAACGAGGAAGGGAGTGCCTAGGACTGCATGGTCAGGCCAAGGTGTGGGGGACGTAGCCTCACTCCACACTTCGATCCGGTCATGCACGTGTTCAGACCAATAGGACAGAGGAAGAAGTACTCGTGCACGGAGGCGCCACCAAAGATACCAAGAGCGAGGGACTCATGCCCGCCAAGTTAAAATTTACAGTTATGCTCAGGATTAAGGCGCAGAGAGATCAGTGCACGGATCTTGATGCAGCATGGAGTGCGCAAGCAAAAAGCATAGTGCAACAAAAATTTGGGCGCGCCTAAACTCCTAATTCTAATTCCTAGTTGCAAAAAATAAATTCTGAACGAAGCAATTTCCAAGAGTCCGTGGGGGCTCCACATCAGTTCAAAATTCAAAAAATGTTTTCCCACGCGACAATCGCGCCAAAAATGCATCATTCCCACAGCAGAATCAAGAAAGAAGCTATGGCAACAGTTATTCGTCTCGCTCACTAAGGTGCGATCAACTACCAACCGTCACGGGACCAGGCCAGCCCGACTCAACCTGTTTCCAAAGGACGCGTAAAGCAAGGGCATCCACGCAATTCACCAAGCCATCCCGACTCAACCCGTTTCGACCCCCGACGTAGCCTCGCGCAGAAGATCGCGCGGTTGTAGAAAGTAGTTTGTCACAGGCTCATACAAACATACATAGCCTCTGGGCACACATATACACGACTATGATACCGGGTTGGTGGGGTCTATCAGGTACATGACGGGGTCTACTAAGCATGGCTTAGCTCTAGGGTAGAATAGGGATGTAAGTCGCTCCAGCTATACTAAGTTTTCCCTAGCCTTCGGTAAGTTAGGGGAAGGACAGTAGGATGTGTCTATGGGTGTTGGCTTGCCTGTCTTAGGTAATCATGCTGGGTAGACTCTCTGAATTGGGCCTGTAGAAGATTGCATGAGCCTGGAATCCGAAGTTCCCGTACGACAAGGTTCGTCCGCTTCCGCTTCCGCTAGGGCTGGGGGGTTGGCCCAGCCTTGGTGCTTGTCACTATACTTTTTTTTCTTTTTTTTTTCTTAAGCCCCGGGTGTTGTAGAG